ATAAATCCAAGCAACGACAAGATTATGTTAATGCTGTGGCATTGTATAATGGGGCTAAGGCATGCCTGAATTTAACAAAAGAAAGGGGTCCAAATGTTGAGCAACACCAGCAACAGATTCCAATACTATGTGCTGAAGTTGAGAAAATGTACATGGAGAATGTTCTTGGCAAGGACACAATCATCGAGGATGCCTCGGGTATTGAGCAGGATGTTTCGCAGCTGAGCATCAATACAGAGCTACAGGCCAATCCCAATGAGGCATTGAATTCCCACAGATTCAGTCTTAAAACAAATATGAAAGACCTAGTAAAGTTAATGATGGAGTGGCCAAAGGCAGAAAATGGACCAAATCCAGACTTTGAGGGAAGGCTTAACCAAAAGGTTAAATCAATTTGTGCGGACAACACAAGCTTTATCAAAGAGTTCAGTGCTGCTTTAATGGAGCAAAGCATAGCTGTATGTGGACCCCCACCCTGTAAATTCACCATGGTTGGACTGGGGTCTCTTGCAAGAGGTGAAAGCACCCCCTACTCTGATCTAGAGTATCTGTTTTTAACAGAGAATGATAGGCATGATGAATATTTCCTCAATCTCCACTTCCACTTTCAACTAAAGGTGCTCAACTTGGGGGAAACCCCTCTGCCTGCTGTGGGAATAAGAAGCCTAAATAACTTTTACGAGGAAACAATATCGAATGATTTCTATGATGATACTACACCCAGTGGGTTCAAGCTTGATGGTAGTATGCCCTGGGCAGCTAAAATACCACCTGGTCATGAAGGTACAGAGAAAAAAGAACCTGTCAAACTAATTGGTACACCTACATACATGGCTGAGCTTAGCACAAATGAATCTGATGAGAAAAATGGCTACCATCTCGCAACTATTGTCTCCACGGCAACCAACATAATGGGTGATGAAGGCTTGTTTCAAGAATTCAGGAACCAGCTAGCAAGAGTCAGAAAAGAGGAAAAAGAAGACTTAACAATTAGAAATTGCATTGAACAAATGAAGAAAGATTGTGATAGATATAAATTCAGGCTTGGTTCAAATACCAGTACACGCAATGCTAAAAAGAACTATTATAGATTTCCATCAATCCTGATAAATAATATGAAAGACTTGTTCAATATTGATAAAGCATCTCCATGGGATATCATTGATGAGCTACAAAAATTCATTGGTCAAGAAAGTTGTTCACACCTGTTACTGATGATCAATTTTGTAATTGCAGTAAGGCTGTTCACATACTGCTTCAAAAATCAACAACATGATCTCATTGAGACATTTACACAGTTCACAACTACTAATACAAATCCAGATGACCTTCTGACACCTATCACATCTGTCTCAAGGGAGGTCATACCAATTCCATTCATCAACTTACTACAGCATTACTTCCTCAGATACATGAGTTGTTCCATGTCAGTCCCTGCATGTCTGAAAAATGCAACCAGCATAAATCCTAGTGATGTTAAACAGTTGATGCAATCATGCCCCATGTACTGTGAGTGTAAGTATTGCCTCCTACTAGCTAAGTTATACACATGCTTCCAGGATGATGAGGTCATTGATGAACTACATGTACTGTTACAATCTTGGGAAGAATCATGGCACCACAAAATAGAACCTGTTTCTAGAAATAGTGTGTTCATGGATGTCATACATTTTCACACTGTTAGAGGTGATTACCATTCTCTGCTGAAGGTTCTGCAGGATGAACTCCAGACCAACCAAGATCTAGACAGCAGTGATGAAGCAGATTATTTAAACAAAATAGCTGACTGCCACATGAATCTGAAAGACTACCCAGCAGCACTAACATCTGTAGATGAAGCTTTAAAGGTGTCTCCACCAAGTGAGCTCCTGAAGCACATGGTGATGAAGGCTGAGATTCTACAGACAATGCAGGACTACACACAACTCAAGGAGTGCTGTGAGCGCCTCATTGAACTTCGATCTCAATGTAAGCCATGGTTAGATACAACCCAAGACACAATCTGGATATATTACTACTACACTGATGCCCTTGTACACAACAAAGAGTATGAATCTGCACTGGGCTACCTGGAAAAGGCCAAGTCTCTGTGTAAGCAAGGGGATGAAACTCACTTGTTGTATTTATCCATTCTCTTGAACATTACCAGCTGCTATGAGGCCCTTGGGAAACAGAAAGAGTTGGAACATACCAGGAAACTATTGCAACAATATAATAACAAAAACACAAAATAAATGAACACATTTATATCATTAAGTAGTACAATCTTAGGAAGAATCATGGCATGAGACGTGTTTTATAAATACTTTACAGATTCAGATGACGAACAAGAATATAACAGAGACATATATAAAGTAAATTATATACCTTATATACATGTTATATACCTTATATACATATTTGGAAGTACATGTAATGGCCCCAAAATTATTATTGTACATCATGAGCAATTGAGCATGTTGATGGATGAAGATGGATTAGATGCGTTATAATTCACTGATAACCTGCCTGCTCCATAAATATTCAATTACAGTAGGCAGAGAAGGTGATAGTCTGGATGTGAAGTGCCATATTTTAAGTGAAGGTGGAAATGCTTATTATATGAACTTTTTTTGCATTTTCTGTTTAAACATGATATCCATATTCAGAAACTGTCGGATGCCCAACAGGCATCCTTGAGGAATTTTTTTGGCGGCCATTTTGAATTTTCACATGTTTTATGTATTTTAGCCAGCATATTAGAACAGAAAACTAGCATACACATAAACAAATCTTGCTGTTTTTTCTATAATAGAGTTTTAATATGATGTATACCAATATGTTAGGTTCCAGAAATGTTTCTTGACAAAAATAAAAAAAATTCAAGATGGCCGCCAACCTTACAATTTATGAAATGTCTCATTCTGTGATAATATCAAATTGATATTAGTGTTTCCTACAAAATTATCAATAAATAATACTAAATACATCTGATTATGATCTCTTTCTCACATATAAAATATCTGAAATGAGTAACAAGTAACCTACATAATACTAATGATGTTCCACAAGGGTCATTTCTTGGTGCTATATATATCTTGAATTTATGAATTATCTTATTTTACTAAGATTTCATCAAGGATTTCCCTCAATAAATCCTCATCAGTTTCTTCCAATTCCTGTTCAGTTACTGTCTTTGTATGTTAGTAATTGCGCATTCATTCCCCTTGCAAACACAGAACAATATACATGATAAAGATGCCTTGGAGCATGAACATCGCCCAGTTTCACATACATTGCCCTCTGATGCACATGTGCACTTAATGAGCTGGTGAATTCCTTCAGGGGCACAGGGTGTATCCTTGGGCATTGTTGTTGGGACAGGTGAGCCCGTGCTGTTAATTTCCCAACCATAATCTGTTGGAAGGATAAGTGGGGGTCAGGCATATCAGCATTTTTCCATGAAGCTACTTGGAAATAAGCTCGCTTCACATGCTGGGAAAATGCTTCTGTTGTTTGTTGGAGGGATTTTAGCTTTGGTGCATTTGTAATGTGTTTTGCAGCATTTTCTTTGCTCATACAGCATATCTCACATCAGACATTTTGTCTGTGACTTTAGGTAAAATTCCATAACATCTAGAAACAAAATCTGTTGAAGTTTTCTCAACTTCAGTCATGTCTGAATTGACATCTCCCAGGTTAGCGAGTGAGTATCTATTTAACACCTTCAGGACTGTTAGCTTGCCAATTCCATGCATGCAAGATGTCGTATCACTGCCAGAGAGACCATGCGCAGCTAACAAGTTTGGGATTTTTAATTTGTGTTCATTTACGGTTGCATCAATGTTAATGTTTGCTCGGCCAGATGATGTTCTCTCCATTATGATGTTATTTTCCATTAACTTGTGCTTGAGACAGTGATGAAGAAGTAGAAGGAAAACATCAGTATCATCACTGAGTACACTGATATTCTGTTGGCCTTTACTGGCAGCACACAGAACCTGGTGTACAATAACAACATCTGCTTCTTCTTGAGTGTTCCTTAAGTCATCACGTTGGTCAATATTGTGAATTTGTACAGCTGTTGGATCAGGACCTGTGATGACAAGGATGTTGGAGAATGATCCTTCACTAGCTTTTTGAGTGAGATGGTCGATGACACACTTTATCAACTGGACCTTGTTCTCAGTCACATTCAGAACAACATTCTGTGCAGGGAGAGGTGTGTCAGAGCTGAACTTATACACTCTACTGGCTGATTGAGCTTGAGATGACCTGGTGCTGTTCTTTATGTTATTGTCTTTATATCTGTCAAAGATAAGGTATACATCTGATTCGGTTAGGAGTCTCAGGATGTACTTAGTGAAAGCAATACAGAAGTTTTCAATTTTGCCAGCCATCGGCCATGTTATGATCCAAAGGATGGCACGCCCATCAACGACACGTACATTGCAATTGTTTCCTCTTGAGGTCACCTCAATCTGTAACTTTTGTTTCAGTTTTGATTTTGAAGTTGTGATATTAATTTCTCCATTTTCATCAAATAGTGATAATGGAGGGAACATCATCTGGCCGAGCAAAAATTAACATTAATGCAACCGTAAATGAACACAAATTAAAAATCCCAAACTTGTTAGCTGCGCATGGTCTCTCTGGCAGTGATACGACATCTTGCATGCATGGAATTGGCAAGCTAACAGTCCTGGAGGTGTTAAATAGATACTCATTCGCTAACTTGGGAGATGTCAATGCAGACATGACTGAAGTTGAGAAAACTTCAACAGAATTTGTTTCTAGATGTTATGGAATTACACCTAAAGTCACAGACAAAATGTCTGATGTGAGATATGCTGTATGAGCAAAGAAAAATGCAGCAAAACAGTCATTACCAATGCACCAAAGCTAAAATCCCTCCCACCAACAACAGAAGAATTTTCCCAGCATGTGAAGCGAGCTCATTTCCAGGTAGCTATATGGAAAAATGCTGATATGCCTGACCCCCCACTTATCCTTCCAACAGATTATGGTTGGGAAATTAACAGCATGGGCTCATCTGTCCCAACAACAATGCCCAAGGATACACCCTGTGCCCCTGAAGGAATTCACCAGCTCATTAAGTGCACATGTGCATCAGAGGGCAATGTATGTGAAACTGGGCGATGTTCATGCTCCAAGGCATCTTTATCTGTTCTGTGTTTGCAAGGGGAATGAATGCATTAACCAACATACAAAGACAGTAACTGAACAGGAATTTGAAGAAACTGATGAGGATTTATTGAGGGAAATCCTTGATGAAATCTTAGTAAAAGAAGATAATTCATAAATTCAAGATATATATAGCACCAAGAAATGACCCTTGTGGAACATCATTATTATTATGTAGGTTACTTTTTACTCATTTCAGATATTTTATATGTGAGAAAGAGATCATAATCAGATGTTTTTAGTATTATTTATTGGTAATTTTGTAGGAAACACTAATATCAATTTAATATTATCACAGAATGAGACATTTCATAAATTGTAAGGTTGGCGGCCATCTTGAATTTTTTTTTATTTTTGTCAAGAAACATTTCTGGAACCTAACATATTGGTATACATCATATTAAAACTCTATTATAGAAAAAACAGCAAGATATGTTTATGTGTATGCTAGTTTTCTGTTCTAATATGCTGGCTAAATTACATAAAACGTGTGAAAATTCAAAATGGCCGCCAAAAAAATTCCTCAAGGATGCCCGTTGGGCATCCGACAGTTTCTGAATATGGATATCATGTTTAAACAGAAAATGCAAAAAAAGTTCATATAATAAGCATTTCCACCTCTAGTGGCTCTACATCCAGACTATGAAGTCTAAATTGAACCCTACATATATGTTTTATAGTTTGTATAGCACTATACTCATTATAGTCTGTCTACTTTAAAGATTAATACACATTGAACAACTACTAACAATATAATGTGTCAATAGTTGATATAAACAGAACAATAATATATGAATGGATATATCAGTCAAATTGCTCACTAAAAATGGCTGTAACTTATGACAAATTTAGTTTTCCACAAAATAGTGTTTAAAATCTATGATTTTTCAAAAATGCTTTAGTTTTCAAGAGGACCATAGTTTTTGTAATGTTTTTTCATGTGTTTACTTACCAACGCAAACATCATAGGCGACACCACACACATAGACGTCAGTGACGCCACGTTTCGTGAGTTCTGACACAAGTTCTGTCTGTGAAAGTTTGTTGTTGTCCCAAAAAGCTGAGTAGCTGTCAATCTCAGGGTTCTTCCCTTTGTTAACATGGCAAGCATTTTCAACCACCTTAAAAGAAGAGTACATAAATTAGGTGATTTTGTACAGAAACATAGATACTTGTATAATGTTAGAAATTTGAAAATGTTGACTACAGTAATTTGTTATTTACATATAATAAAAGCCATATGTTGTTATGATATTGGGCAGTGTCGCCTATTGCTATGTACATATCTACATATTATGCTAAAACAGTATGTAATAATTGATGTTCAGGAAATATTGCCTATTGTTATTTCCATATTTTGAACACTGAGGCAGTATGTTGTCATGACATTGGGCAGTGTCACCTATTGCTATGTACATATCTACATATTATGCTAAAACAGTACGTAATAATTAATGTTAAGGAAATATTGCCTATTGTTATTTCCATATTTTGAACACTGAGGCAGTATGTTGTTATGCCATTGGGCAGTGTCGCCTATTGCTATATACATATCTACATATTATGCTAAAACAGTATGTAATAATGAATGTTAAGGAAATATTGCCTATTGTTATTTCCATATTTTGAACACTGAGGCAGTATGTTGTCATGACATTGGGCAGTGTCGCCTATTGCTATATACATATCTACATATTATGCTAAAACAGTATGTAATAATGGATGCTAAGGAAATATTGCCTATTTTTATTTCCATATTTTGAACACTAAGGCAGTATGTTGTAATGACATTGGGCAGTGTCACCTATTGCTATGTACATATCTACATATTACGCTAAAACAGTATGTAATAATAAATGTTAAGGAAATATTGCCTATTGTTATTTCCATATTTTGAACACTGAGGCAGTATGTTGTCATGACATTGGGCAGTGTCGCCTATTGCTATGTACATATCTACTTATTATGCTAAAACAGTATGCAATAATGGATGCTAAGGAAATATTGCCTATTGTTATTTCAATATTTTGAACACTGAGGCAGTATGTTGTCATGACATTGGGCAGTGTCGCCTATTGCTATGTACATATCTACATATTACGCTAAAACATTATGTAATAATGGATGCTAAGGAAATATTGCCTATTTTTATTTCCATATTTTGAACACTGAAGCAGTATATTGTCATGACATTGGACAGTGTCACCTATTGCTATGTACATATCTACATATTACGCTAAAACATTATGTAATAATGAATGCTAAGGAAATATTGCCTATTGTTGATTCCATATTTTGAACACTGAAGCAGTATATTGTCATGACATTGGACAGTGTCACCTATTGCTATGTACATATCTACATATTACGCTAAAACATTATGTAATAATGAATGTTAAGGAAATATTGCCTATTGTTATTTCCATATTTTGAACAGTGAGGCAGTATGTTGTCATGACATTGGGCAGTGTCGCCTATTGCTATGTACATATCTACATATTATGCTAAAACAGTATGTAATAATGGATGCTAAGGAAATATTGCCTATTGTTATTTCCATATTTTGAACAATGAGGTAGTATGTTGTCATGACATTGGACAGTGTCACCTATTGCTATGTACATATCTACATATTACGCTAAAACATTATGTAATAATGAATGTTAAGGAAATATTGCCTATTGTTATTTCCATATTTTGAACACTGAGGCAGTATGTTGTCATGACATTGGACAGTGTCACCTATTGGTATGTACATATCTACATATTATGCTAAAACAGTATGTAATAATGGATGCTAAGGAAATATTGCCTATTGTTAATTCCATATTTTAAACACTGAGGCAGTATGCTATGAACATTAGGTAAGATTTGCCTATTGTTATTTACATATTATGAATGCTGAAGCAGTAGCTTCCTGTATAATGAACACTTAGGAAATGTCGCCTATTCTTATTTGTGGATCAGTATCTTATAATGAACACTTAGGAAATAATGCCTATTTGTATTTGTGGATTATGAATGCTGAAGCAGAATATATTGAACACTAACCAAATGTCACCTATTCTTATTTGTGGATTATGAAAGCTAAAGCAGTATCTTATAATGAACACTTGGGAAATGTCGCCTATTTTTATTGTGGATTATAAACGCTGAAGCAGTATGTTATAATGAACACTTACGAAATGTGGCCTATTTTCATTTGTGGATCATGAATGCTGAAGCAGTATGTTATAATGAACACTTACGAAATGTCACCTGTTCTTATTCGTGGATTATGAACGCTAAAGCAGTAGCTTATAATGAACACTTGGGAAATGTCGCCTATTCTTATTTATGGATTATGAACACTGAAGCAGTATGCTATGAACATAAGAGAAATGGTGCCTTTCGTTATTTACATATTATGAACGCCGAAGCAGTAGATTCTCGTGTATTGAACACTTAGAAAATGTTGCCTGTTCTTATTTTTTGGATTATAAACGCTGAAACAGTGTGTTATGATGAACAATAAGGAAATGTTGTCTATTCTTATTCGTGGATTATGAACGCTAAAGCAGTATCTTATAATAATAATAATGAACACTAAGGAAATGTTGCCTATTCATATTTATGGACACTGGAGCAGTATGTTATGATGAACAATTAGGAAATGTGAACGCTAAAGTAGTATCTTATATTGAACACTTAGGAAATGTCGCCTATTCTTATCTACATATTATGAACGCTGAGACAGAATGTGATAATGAACGCTAAGGAAATATATGAACATTATTATGAACATTATGAACGCTTAAGCAGTATGCTATGAACATTAGGGAAATGTTACATCATTATTTACATATTATGAACACTGAAATGTCACCTATTCTTATTTGAGGATTATGCACGTTGAAGCAGTATTTTATAATGAACACTGATAGGCAGAGTTACTTTACTTATTATCAAGTGGCTTCATTTTATCACTATGTTAGAATTTAAACACAAATTAAGGAGGATCATCCTTAGAGAAAATTTAGAAATATTGCATGGAACTATATTACATCAATCAGGGCATGAAACATTATAAAAATAGTGACTACTATTGAGGGAAATATTGCAAAATATGTTCCCGAGGGAATATCCTGTCCACTTATATGTTCCGGAGGCTGCAGACCGAGGGAACATGTCGGTGCACAGGATATTCCTGACGGGAGAATTTTTACACTATTTCCCGAAAATGTGGCAGTACACGATTTGTTTTATTATCCCTATAAATCACAGCTAGCAGGGAAGATAAAATGTACTAATGACTGGACAAATGACCTAACTGGTGATAAGTACATTTCATCTTCCCTGTTAGCAGGGATTTAGGACTTTCCATTAAATTAGTTCATTTATTTCATATCATGTGACCATGAATAAGTCAATGAGCATCTAGAATACATATGGGGTATATAATAATATGTATTAATACAGGGCTTAGCCAGGCATGAGGAAGGTAAGGCAACTGCTTACCAACTCAGCAGTAATGTTACAGATTTTTTCCAAATAAACTGTAACACATGTACCTCCCTTAAATTAGTCCATATTTGCCTTGCCAAATAATTTTTACCTTGCCTGGCTATGCCTCTGTAATCTAAACTTTAATAAAACTTTATAATGTGTGATATCTTGAAACATATTTTACCTAATGCTTGAATATTTGTCAAATCATTATTACTCCAATGCTAAAGCATTAGGCAATCTTTTGCCTGTGTATAACTAACTACCTTAAGCGGAACATATGCTTGTATATTATTACAGGGTGTCAAATAAATATGTTCTCCACCCTTAATTTCAAGAAACTAAATTTCTGAAACTTCTCGTGGAGTTGCTCTGTGAAGCCCAGTTTTGATGTGCTAAAGAACAATTCAGATATCATATAGAGAAAAAGATTATCCAACATTATGTGGATGTTAAAGCTAAGGAGGGGAGAACATATTTATTTGACACCCTGTATATTGTTTGCTAGAATTTAATCAAATCAAATAAAGAAGTCAATTTCAACATAGTTGTGTCTACATTGTGTGGATAGACATGGAGATAGAAAATGGTATTATACTTGGACATCTTGGACAGCAATAAAAGTGTTGGCGTTTTTGATCTCTTTCAAAAAATTATTATAGATCTTCAAAACACAATTCACACCGGAATAGCCTGACAATGGTAAAGTCAGATACCGTTGTCCCAAATGGCGGACATAACCATCGATTCAACTCTCTAATCACTTTGTTCTCATTTCATGGGATTTTATCGTCGCTAATTCTGCTTGTGTGTTAAGCTCTTGTGATGATGTATCATATGAAATCCCAATTTCTATCAAATTGGGCCATGAATCGCCACAATATAGCGTCTTCAATATCGTCAATGACAACAGAATCTGAATTTGAAATAACTTACAAAGACAACGGCATATGGTAATACAGTGTCCTTTGTCCCGTATCTCATTTTGATCGGTTAAATCAAATACTTTATTTCAATGGTAGAACATTATTAACTGTACAATGAGTATAAAAACACTTGGATTGATTGTTGTTCTGAAGAAATTTAGTCTATGTGCTCTATTAAGCATACAGTTCATGAAAATCTAATTGAAGCGACAGTTATGTCTGCCATTTGTGACAACAGTATCTGACTTTACCATTGTCAGGCTATTCCAGTGTGTAATTAAAATGAGCTGAAAATTACATATGCAAATATATTTGGACATTCTCATGCAATTTAGAATAAAAATTCAATTTTTAAACAGGGGATCACAGTGGACTTTAGATAATGAACAAATTAACAAGAAATAGTATACATTATTGAATGATTTGAAGTGCAATACAGGATATATTCTGCTCGAGAATTCCACAACGAGAGGTCTCTCTTGTGATCTACTGAGAATGTTCCCTCCGTACCAATTTTTTATGTGCTGCGACGGTTGATCAATGGGGACAATCTCAGTAGCAATACAGATCGGTATAGCACAAGAACTGACCAATCAGAAGGCTTCATTTTACAAATCATGCGATAATAATAAATATTGCATTTTTTATCGAAAAATTCAAAATGGCCACCAAGTAATCTTCCCAGTATGCCCAAAACCTAATCAGATCTTGGTACTAGTCTGCTCTTGCATCTGTAAAAATTTCAAATTGAACAGGAAAGCAGTTTTCCTGAAATTTTGATGACAAGAAATGTTTTCATATTTTTTACATATTTGATAAAATAAAAATGATGGTGCATACTTTTAGGTCAGGATGTAGTTGTGATCCCCAGGAGTTTTGTATGCAATGGGCTGGCCAGAGTTTCTGAACCTTAATAGGATCACCATCAAACGTCACTGTGTCATAGAGTTTGGCAATATCTGCAGGGACCTGGAAAAATTCACGAAAACATTGATATCAAAACGGAATAACCAGACAACGGTAAAAGATTGCAGAGTTGAAGTGACGGTTATGTCCGCCATTTGTGACAACGATATCTGACTTCACCGTTGTCAGGCTATTCCGATGTGGATATAGGCATAAGGTTTTAAAATGTATGTCTCCTCATACATACTCCACTTAACAAGTTCTCACCTGTTTGAAAGGACTGCTCTTTAAATTATTTAATATATGCACATTTTTGTGAATTCAAAATTCATATGACTGGAATATCTTGCATCACGCTATTATTACTTTCTCAGAAATTCTATAGTAGATATTGATTGTAAAATAATTGATTCAAATATAATTTGAAAAGAGGGAATGGGTGAAACGAATGAGTGACAGAGGGGGAAAAGTGTGAGAAGTGAATGAGTGAAAAAAGCAAGTGGTAGAGGTAATTGGTGAAAGTTGAATTCTCTGATGCTTTCATTTTCTATGTTTGAATCGGAATGAATAATGATAGGCCATTCAATATGGTGAAATTCTACACTCACTGGACAGAATGTCAGTACAAATGCACTCACCTTCGGTTTGTGCTTTGTACGACATTCTGTCCAACTTATACTGAATTTCATCATATTGAATGGCCTATCATTATTTATTCCTCAAGTAAAGGCAATGACAGAAAAGTGAATGAGTGAGTGAAAGAAATGAGTGGATGATGCAAATGAGTGAGTGATATAAATGGATGAGTAAAGGGAATGAGTGACTGGATGGAATGAGTGGGTGAAAGGAATGAGTGAGAGAAGCTAATGAGTGAGAAAAGTGAATGAGTGATGAGAATGAGCGAGTGATGCAAATGAGTGAAGTGAATGACTGATATGGATGAGTGGGTTAAAGGAATGAGTGAGTTTTATCTCCCTTACCTTACTAGAATTGTGAACTTTCCAAGATTTGACATTATCCACAAATGAGATATGATTGGGTGGATGCCAATCGTAGGAATATACAACACAATCAAACTTCACTGTGTCAAGCATTTTATTTATTACTGGAATGATGGCTTCCCCATCCTGGCCAGCAGGACAGTCTTTTATAGCTAGGCTACCCGTTATAAAGTCATTTTGTACATCCACAACCAGAAGAGCTGTCACTGGATCCAGGATCTGAAATCATAGAGATTTGTATAAGAAGTTGTGTAGGTGTTCTTAGAAACATAATGGATTAGAATTGTGAATCATAAACAGGGAAAATAAGTTTCACTAAATGATTTTACTTTTACTTTTTACTCTTGTGTATCATACAATGGAAAAATGTTTGCACAGGACCTTTAAATAGTGTAACTTTAAACTTGCACTCCAATAATCATTATAAATACTTTCATATTAGGCTTTCGATATAATTCAAGCTGTACTTACCTGCTTTAGCCAGTGATACCATATTATTCTAAATTCTTCATAGTCAATTTTTCCATCCTGAAAAACATTAAAATCAAAGAATGTTAATGAAGGACCCACGGTCCTATGCTCACACAGTTTGGAACCTTCAGAGGAATTTATATCCTGACTTTCAAACAAAAATATTGATTTGGATTTGTAGTCTGGAACTTTGAGAAACTTAGATAGCATAGTTGTGTGACCTAGTTTGATGACCTTTGACCTTGAAAATTTTACTTATTCAGAGCTCAGTAAGGACTTTTGTGATTAAGCTGACCAAAATTTACATTTTACATTTACTTTTTTGACCTTTCGAAGGTCACTGAAGGTCAAGTAAAGGTCAAATCCTAAAACTAATGTCAGATTTGAACTCCTGGTAACTTGTAGATGATTTTCAAAAAAAAATTTGGTCAAATTGAAGCAAGTTGAAAAATAACTTATTTTTACTGTTTTTTGACGTCAAATATCTCAAAAACGGTAAAAATTTGATGCTGACATATATTGAGAAATATGTAGGGAATGCTTAAATCTATTAATGATGTAACTTATTGCAGGAAATGATCAAGTATAAGGCAAACTTTAAGAATCTTGTCAATCACAAAACCTGCCATTGACTTTATACATGAGAAAGTTTCCTGAAAATAACTAAGTCCTACTTTTTTTCAAATTTTATAGAGTAAACACCAAAAACCGTAATTCCAAGAGCTTTGAAATCTTCAGAGTACATAAGTTGCATATACACCAACTACTAAAAGGTATTTGAAAGTTCTACTTCAACAAAATGTCTTGTATTTACAGAAAATTTGACTTTTTGACGTCAAAATCCGCAATTTCTCGGAAACCGGGCGAACTTGGGAAATGGCGATGATAGGTCAAATAGGCATTATGGATATGCATAAAATGAATGTGGATAGGACTCAATCCGAATAGCAGTTTTAATTTGTGCGGCCAATGTTGAAGGACGGACCAACAGACGGACGGACGGACGGACCAACGGACGGACGGACAGACCAACAGACGGACGGACGGACCAACGGACGGATGGACGGACGGACCAACGGACGGACGGACGCCTGGTCAATCCCATAGGCTCACTGTGTGAGCCAAAAACAATAAGAATTTTATGATTAAAGGGTGCCTTTTACATATGAATGTACATGTAGTTTTGGAATAAATATAATTTCATGAGAAAATAGTAAAATTATGAAAAGCTTAATCTCTGTAGGATGGATACATCGTATCTATACTAAATATATATATATGAGTTAGTTATTTTCAAAAGGTGGAGTGAAGTGTAGTACCTAGTTTGGTCAATAGAGGGAACATTAATCTGTCCCCGGGAGGATTTTCCCCGGGAATGTTACTATAGGTGAGTTGTATAATCAACAAACGGCGCCCTTTTCAATCCCATCATGCATGTCTTACTTCAAATATATACGTTTTCTGATTGGTGAATTTCTACTTGGGAATGCACCTAATTAGTTTTGGCATGCAGCTCAATTCGATATCAAAGAAATTGTAATCGAGCTAATTTGTGCGTCCAACGGTTAGCTAACAGCAATCAAAATTATCTGTACTACCCAGCAATATTTCAGGTTGATGGATAAATGAGAAATACGTTATTACATGTGAAGTGACTATATGATTGATAAACCTGGTAACATGAAACTGCATCATATTCTATTGTCTTTGTAACCAGATATATAAAACAGTTTTATATATCTTTGTTGTAACATGAGGAATGTATGTAATATTTGTAAAGTGAAGATTAAAATACAATCATTCAATTTGTCACTAGCGGTAATTTAGAAGATGTACAATGTATTATGATTGGTCTCAAACCCAGGGGCTCCAAGGGGGAAAACTGAAACATCTATTCAAAGTTGATGAGGTCCCGATGAGGTCTCGCAAAAACAAATGTAATATTTGACATTTATCCTTTAGAAATAACGTAGTGTTACTACTTGGTGTTACTATAGCTGTACCATCGATTCTGTGAATAAGGTACGAATGAAATTGTGGTCCAATGCATTATTTTAAGGGATCGAATACCTCTGATCAATGTTACACTCCCGGGGTTACAATCACATTTAATTTTCAACATTTGCAAAAGCAAAAAGGGAACACCGCATTTGCAAAAGTATAGATATTATGATTTCTCTCATGCGTCGGTCAAGAATATCGTCTGGTTCCAGTGAAGATGACCCACTGACGTATAATCTACGGGGCAGCCCTGATAAAATCAAGAGGGGCAAACCGATGAATAAATTATTGGCCTCTGTACTAGATCCGATCATCGGGTTATAAGCCGAACAGACAATTACAAATAAACGGGTATATTGAACAAAGTACAGGCGAATGGACACATTTTCTATAATTTATTTTAACATTTGTTTTTAAAAGGATACATTATTTTTCAATATCATACAAACCTCTTTAGGTTTGACAGCCTTAACTCCCCAACGGGTTCCTTTATTTTCTGCACCTCCGAACTGTCCGAATATTTTCGAAGAAGATATCAATATTGTGTTCCATAAAGTTAAATTCAATTTTCTCTTTATTAACTTTAATTATATATTTGTTAGAACTTCGGATGGATGCATATTCTTTACGTTACATGATTTGTGGCAATTTCCCACTTATTGTAAATGGCGTAAACTTAGAAAAGTGAGGAATTTGACATCTGCAGCCCTACAAATATTTTTTTCTCTTCACAATTCAAACATGAAAGGCTCTAACAAGGGGCTAAAGGTTGCTAGTTTTGCGGAGGCGAGTGTACTACTGAAATTAAACGCTCGTATTTATTGTTTCACAACTATTTCTAGTTACTTTGACGTAATGTTACGAAATAAAGGAGGTTGGCTATTCTCATTCTGTAAGATGTTTTCTATTTTTAAAAACATGTCCTAAATGTCATACATTAAGTTACATATTATAATTTTGTACCAAGGAACACAATCTAGTCGGAATTTTAAAATGCCTGCGGTTTGGAATTTTTGGTTTAAATGAAGCTGTAATTTATTCATTTAGTCCCTCGCTTTTTAACCTTGGCGGAATAGCACAGGCATCCAGGATTAAATCAAATGGCAAAACGAAATGATCGTGCGTAATCAGATTTCGACGCATGTCTTTAATGGGAGTAGTTGTGAGTGTTCGGAAGTGTTCCTCATGTGTGGTAAAAACTCCCTTTAAAATGGAGGATAACGTTTTCTGCATCGGGTCCGTCACAAAGCTCGAACATTTTCAAGATGTGTTATTCGAGAACACAATGTACCATCAGAGTTTGTGAATTGTTGATAGAAATTTGTGTTTACAGAGAAACATCTCTCCAGCAGAAATTCTAAAACGCAATTTCGCAAGAAAATATTTTTAAAATGCAAGAAAATAAAGCAGTGAATGCATCAGTTAAAAAACATTAAAAATAGTTTTCATAGCATACCGTTAATCGAGTGATTGAGTGATCATAACTAATATATTTAAGAAAATGAACATATTAACGAACAAATAGTTCAGACGACCTTACTTGTTAAAGGACTTCAAAAAACGGTTAGAATCTGTACTTCCAAAACGTTCCGTTGGAGGAGTATGTATCGGGTGGTCCACGATTGTGTTGTGTGGTTGCCCGGTTGATTGTTGTCTCTATTTAGAGAAGCTTAGTTGGATATACTGATATCACCGTTTCATAGGTTGTGCCTGATTGTGTTTTGATTGTTTGATTTAATCGAGTTTAATTAATTGAGTATTTGGTTAAGCCTGGTTGTGTTATGGTAGGTTTTTTGCAGGTAGTGCCTAAATGAATTAGTTAAATGATAGGTTGAGTTGAGTTTAATCTTGTTGACTGTGTTGGATTGGTTTATGATTGGGTTGTGCTCGATTGTGTTGTAGCAGTTTGACAGCGCAGTCGGAATTGTGGTTCTTTGTCTGGTTGAATCTGGTTTAATGTGTTTTGGCGCATTGGGTTACGTAAGTTTTATAATGTTGTGTTGTGAATGTATTACATTGGTCGGGTAGCAGGTTGTGCCCAGTCCGGTGAGGTATTTGGCTGTGTCCATCTGTGTGACTAGTGTTATCTCAAGTTGGATGAGAATTTGTTGTGCATATTGGTATTTAAGATTGGTTGTTTTTATTGGTTGTGCCTGATTGTGTTGTGTCACTTAGTTTGACAGTCGGTTTTCTTTATGTGTTTTTGTCTGGTATTGGTTTCGTGTACAGTCACATTGTGCCCCATTGCGTCATGCTAATTTTATAATTGGAATGTGTTCTGTTGTTCTCATGCAGGGCTGGTCACAAACATAAAATACAGGAAAACTTTCCTTTTAGGAAATAATAAATGGATTAAATTAGAAGAGATGAAAACAAATATGCTATATGATATATTGATAAAAAGTAAACAAGAACGAAATGTTTTAGAAAAACATTGGAGTAATATTTTTAGTATTCCTCATGATAAAACGTTTTATGATAAAATATATTCTTTGAAATGACAAACATGAAATACAAAAAGTATGCTGAATTCAACTTTAAATTATTTCACAACATTTTTGCATGTGGAAGTGAGATATGTAGATGGAACTCTAATATTAACCAAGATTGTTCAAAATTTAATATAATTCAAAATGCAAAACATCTTATTTTTGAATGTAAGCAAGTAGAAGCACTATGGAAGGATGTGGAAAAAATATTGAAATGTAAAATACTCTGGAAACATTTTATTTTGGGTTTTCATTTCATGAAAAGTGATATAGCATTTAGAAATTTAATACTTATTATAGGTTACACAATATATTCAACATTTGTCGGAAGAAAGGAAAAAATATCAAAATGGCAACTCCAAATCAAAAATTGCATCTTTAAAGATCTACGCAAAATGTGTAAATGAAAACCAAAAAGTAAATCATTATTTAGATCAATTTAGTGCAATTAAGGCGGTCGCGGGGGTGCTTACAGCGATCCTACAGGTCGCAGGGGTAAACCACAAACTCTAGGATTAGCTGCAAGTCGACTAGGCCCTATGTACAGCCACCGCGGGACCTTTCCAC